TCACAAATACAGTATAATGAAAATCCACTGTAAATCAGGGCGATGCAATAGTGAGGAGGAAGGGGGTCAATTTTCAATTGGGAATCTCTCAGAGGAGGAGGTAACATCTCAGTTGGGACTTAAATGATGAGAAGTAGCCAGCCATGGAGCATGGCATGCTGGGGCATAAAAGCAACAAGAGTACAGAATTTGAAGAGGAAACAAGCTTGGCAAGTTGAGGCATCAGAAAGGAGGCCAGAGCAGCTGAATTGTACAGAGAAGCCAGAGATGGAGAGAAAGGCAGAAGATGAAGTGGGAGAAGGGTAGTTGTGGTCCACACAGATCCTGGCCCATCATCTATATAAAAGTCAGATCTTCCTCTAGGTAAGGGGCTCCCTTCAAGCCACCCCCACGGTCCTACCTTAGCTTGTACCTATTTGGGCCCCCCCCCCAGGTAGTCTTGACTATTTCCCCCTAGCAGCCCAGACCCTGTTCTCTCTCTAACTTGGGATTGCTAACAAGTAGAAGTTCTTCCGGATGTGTAACCTAAATCAGTCCTGCAACAATTCAAATCCATTTCTGTTGTCTTCACTTAAGTAATAATATAAGGAAGTTACCATCACGATCATGTCCTTTAACATATCATCACTTTCTGAGGACAAGCAATATGCTAAGAGCTTTCAGGAAAAGGCGCAGAGAGGTTAAGTAACTTGTCAAAAGTCACACAGCTGTATACTACAGGAGGAGTCCAAGATGGACTCTTTCTATGGTGTTCTTTCCTCCCCTGGCTCTTCTCAAACATATAGACTCTCAGCAGGTCTCTTTATGGATGGTCACAATAACCTGATTCACCTATATAAAAAACAACTGGGTAATTTATCTACTTAAGTTCCCCATACCTTGCCCTGTACAGGGTGAATCAGTAGCTAGTCTCTAGGGCTTATTATTATTTCTGAGGTCTGTAATCAGCAAGAGTGGATTCATTGTGCAACCAAAGGCACGTTAGTATTATTTAAATCTTGAGTATGGTAGATGTGAAATAACATTTGTTAAATGCATGACTAAGCAGGAAGGATGACGTTCTGCTAGTGGGCAAATGTCCTAGCATTTGTCATGCGATATCCATGCCCCAGTGTTTGTCATGCTGTGCCCTTGTCACGAGTGTCTGCCATACAGAGTCCCTGTCCTGGCAGTTGTTATTTTGGCTATCCCACATCCATTCCTTCTTTCTAATAACACATCGGTTCCTGGTTGGGGAGATACCTCTGTGGGTCATCTTTCCCTTGCTGGGAACAGTCTCCCAGGAGTGCCTCCCACAGTCCACATCAGCTGGGGAGAAGAATGTGACAAGAGCTTGCCCAATGGGCAGCTCCTCCTGGATTCAGAGCCTTGAGTGAAGGTGAGAGGGATGTTGGTGTGCTGTTCAGACTCAGGGTGACATTGTGTTTTATAAGAAATATAATCATTCAGCCCTAACCGGTTTGGCTCAGCAGGCTGTTGTAACATTAAAGGTAGATAAACTTTGAAGTTACATTAAAGATAATAACCAAATAATCCAGAAATTCCAAAAGAATTGAAAGCAAGGATTCAAGGTACCTGTATATCAATGCTCACAGCAACATCTAGACTAATAAAAGGGTAATATGCTAATTAGACCAGGAGACCTTCCGGACAAAGCCATGGTGGCAGGGCCGAGGCAGAGGTGGTTAGAGGCGATTAGGCCAGGAGGGGAGGGCAGTTGGGGGCGATCAAACTAGCAGGGGGGGGCCAGTTAGGAGTGAGCAGGCCAGCGGGGGGGGGGGCAGTTGGAGGAGAGCAGGCCGGCAGGATGGGACAGTTGGGGGTGATCAAGCTGGCAAGGGGGGAGCAGTTGGGGGTGAAAAGGCTGGCGGGGGGGTGCAGTTGGGGACAAGCAGGCCAGCAGGCAGAGGGGTTAGGCATGATCAGGCAGGCAGGCAAGCGGTTAGGAGCCAGTGGTCCTGGATTGGGAGAGTGATGTCTGACTGCCGGTTTAGACCCGATCCCACAGGGACATCACCTGAGTGGTCCCAGATTAGAGAGGGTGCAGGCCAGGCTGAGGGACAGTGCCTCCCCGCCTGCACGAATTTCGTGCACCAGGCCACTAGTTATTTATAATAGCCAAAAGATGAAAACTTCCAAGTGTCTACCAATGAATGAACAGATGAACAAAATGAGACATACACCTACAATGAAATATTATTCAGCCACAAAAAGGAATGAAGTTCAGATACATGCTACAACATGGATGAACCTTGAAAACATGCTAAGTGAAATTAGCCAGACACAAAAGAACACATACTGTGTGATATACTTATATGAGGTACCTAGAGTAGGCAAATTAATGGAAATGGAAACTAGAGGTTACTAGTGTTAGGTCTGATCAAATAATTGAATCAATATCCCCTCCCCTGGGAACTGACCTGTAGGCCATTTCACAATGGACATTCCACTTGCATAGACCACATTCCACTTGCTAAGACCATTATCTCTCCCCTCTGGAGTTTCCCAGAATCTGGACCTGCACAGAGAATTCTCTGCCCAGAAAAAGCTCACCTGGAGTCCTTAAAAAACCTCTGACTCCCCGTCTTTGGGGGCTGGTGCCATTTTGGGCTCAGCCCATCTGGTATCCAGATGACCTAATCCTATATAATAAAAGGCTAATATGCAAATTGTCCCTTTGACCGGGCGTATGACCAGGGGACAGGGCCAGCCAGCCGACCTCCCTCAGCCCCTCGCCCCAGCCAGCCTGGCCCAATCAGCCCGATTGGGGCTGGCTGGCTGAACCCCATCCGTGCACGAATTCGTGCAGCGGGCCTCTAGTAAATTAATAATTCTTCACCCCTTTTGGCCTTGCGCATTCCTCCTTTGGTGACCCTATCAACTAGGGGCTTGGGGAAGGGAGAATGGGGAATTCTTATTCATAAAGTTTCAGTTTGGGAAGGTGAAAAGCTCCGGAGATGGATGGTGGTGATGGTTGCAGAATAATGTGGATGTACTTTAAGCCCCTGAGTTGTACATTTAAAAATGGTAAATGTTGTTAGGCATATTTTCCAATAATTTTTTAAAAATATTTGTTATTAACTTTTAGAGAGAGAGGAAGAGAGAGAAAGAGAAACATCAATGTCAGAGTGATACATCAGTTGGCTGCCTCCTGCACTCCCTCTACCAGGGATCGAGCCTGCAACCCAGGCATGTGCCCTGACCAGGAATCAAACAGGCAACCTTTTGGTACATGGGATGATGCCCAACCAACAAACCACACTGGCCAGGGCTACCATAATTTCTTAAAATAAAACAAATAGAGATAATGAGATAGTACAGTGGGGCCTTGACTTACGAGTTTAATTCGTTCCGTGATGGAGCTCGTAACTCAAATTACTCGTACGTCAAATCAAAAAGTGAATGAGTGAGACACGTGATGCTGGGCTGATGTTGTGGCGTTCACTGTGACGTTCGCTGCGCCAACTAGCGGTGGGGTATCTGAAGCTGGCTCGTAACCCGAATTTTAGCTCGCAACTCAAAGCAAAAAATTGGCCGAGAGATGGCTCGTATCTGAAAAAGCTCGTTAGTCGGGACACTCGTAAGTCAAGGCCCCACTGTACTTATAATACATGATAATTATTATTATACTAGAGGCCTGGTGCACAAAAATTTGTGCACTTGGGGGGGGGGTCCCTCAGCCAGGCCTGTGCCCATTTGCAGTCCAGGACCCCTTGGGGGATGTCCACCTGTTGACTTAGGCCCACTCCCCATGGGATCAGGCCTAAGCTTGCAATCAGACATCCTTCTGGCAGCCAGGGAGCCCTCGGGGGATATCCGACTAAAGTCTTAGGCCCCCAAGGGATCGGGCCTAAACCGTTAGTTGAACATTCTTAGTGCTGCCACGTTGAACATTCTTAGTGCTGCCACCACCTCTGCACTGGCCAGCCATGAGCCAGCTTCTGGCTGAGTGGCACTCCCCATGTGGAAATGCACTGACCACCAGGGGGCAGCTCCTGCATTGAGCGTCTGCCCCCTGGTGGCCAGTGCGCATCATAGCAACCGGCCATTCTGCCGTTCAGTCAATTTGCATATTAGCCTTTTATTATTATTATATAGGATGTCCCTATTTCCCCCCTTTTGCCCCCTCTACCAGCTCTTGCCCCCCACTTCTCTCTGGCCATCACCATACTGTTGTCTGTGTCCATGGGTTGTGCATATATTTTCTTTGGCTAATCCCTTCTTTAAATTTTTATTTTCAGGTAAGTGCTTAGAACTGCACTATTATATATTTTCTATTATATCATTTAGAATTAAGATATTTTTTAATTGGACCCTTGTAAATTTTAGCACAATTTAATAAATTATGCTAGAAGCAATTAGGAGATTTTTCATGTAATGCAGATACATTTCAATTAATATTTTATTACTTTTTAATTTTTTAATATTTTAATTTGAAATAATCTCATACATGTAAAGAAAACTATAAAATACTACAGCATATTATATGTACCCTTCACCCAATTTCTTAGGTGTTAATAATTTAAACATAACCATTATACAACTAACAAAATTTGGAATATATTTTTCTTATAATCTCTTTAATGTTACTTAATCCATTTACTTTGTTTTTGTTAATCTTCACCCAAGGATATTTTTCCATTGAATTTTAGAGAGAGTGAAGGGAAAGGGAGAGACACATTAATTGGTTCCCTCCTGCACATGCTCTGATAGGGACTGGGGATCAAGCCAGCAACTGAGGTACATGCCCTTGACTGGAATCTAACCTGGGACCCTTCGGTCCATGGGCTAATGTTCTATCCACTGAGCAAAACAGGCTGAAGCTTAATTCATTTATTTTTAATCTATATGTGTCTTTATATTTAAAGTGGGTTTTGTTTTTGATTCACCCTCATAATCTGTCTTTTAATTGGTGCATTTATGCCACTGACTTTCAGAGTGCTTACTGATAGAGTTACTGCCATATCTGGCGGCTTCTGGGGCTTCAGGGGCCCGCCTACCTGTGGCCTGGGACCAGATCTGATGACGGGTGGCAGGCAGGCGGCTTCTCGGGTAGCCCATGAGGGGCTGGATGGCGGCTTGCGCTGGCGGCTCGAAGTATGCAAATTAGCTGCCATCTTTGTTGGTGGTTAATTTGCATATCTCGCTGATTAGCCTATGGGAGGTGTAGCGAAGGTACAGTCAATTACCATGTTTGTCTATTATTAGATAGGATATTTGTATAGTCTATACATTATTTAATAGGCTAGTGATGCAATGTAACACTACTGAACCTAGTTGGAGTTTTCCTCTGCCCACCTTCCCCATCAAGTGGTCTGTACAAATGTGCCAGGTTCTTAGGTGTAAAGCATAATGAGCAATATGTTAATAGCTCAGGAATAATGAACCCTGGTTTCTACAGGATGAATCAACTTTCCATATGAGTCATCTGATTATTATCAGACTTCCACTGTGCTCTCTATATGGGTCTTTTACATTCGTAAAGGGATGTAATGAGATAATCATTACAAAGAGGCAGCTAATTCAAATGTAAATCAATAAGCCAATGGATCCTGGGGCCTGCGATATTTAGACAACTGTTAATGGCTAAGCTATGCTAACAGAGGGAGCTGGCAGAGGAAAGAAGCCGCTCTGAGGGTGGTCCTGGTGGTTCCCCTATACTTCTGGGAGACAAACCCATTTACAGGGAAACCCATCAGTCAGCGATCAATAAACCTGGATTTTAGTCACAGAGGGCAACCAGGATTACATTGGCTAAGTATTTCCTCCAGATGGGTGGTCTGAGAGAATGAGACCTGTAAAGTGACAAAGATTTACTCATGGAAACATCTACAATTCATGGGGGAAAGGTGGTACAGCCACTATGGAAAATAATATAACAGTTCCTCAAAAAATTAAACATAGAATTACCATATGACTCAACAATTCTACTACTAGGTATATATCTAAAATAATTGAAATCAGGGACTTGAGCAGATATTTGTACACTCGTTTTCATAACAGCATAATTCATAATAGCCAAAAGGTAGAAGCAACCCATCGGTCCTACGACAGAAATGTAGTATATATAGACAATGGAATATTATCCAATCTTAAAAAGAAGGAAATTCTGACATATGCTACAACATGGATGAATCGTGAGGACAATATGCTAAGTGAAATACAGTTTTTGTCACCACGGGATTCCAGGTATATGAAGCACCCAGAGTAGTCAAAGTCATACAACAGAAAGTAAACTGGTGGTTTCTACGGACTGGGGGAGAGGGGAATGGGAAGTCATTGTTTAATGGGTACAGAGTTTATGGTTGGAAAGATGAAAAAGTTCTGGAGATGGATGTGGTGATGGTTACACAATAATGTGAATGTACTTAATGCCACTGAATTGCACACTTAAAAAATAATTAAACTGCCCTAGCCGGTTTGGCTCAGTGGATAGAGCGTCGGCCTGTGGACTGAAAGGTAACGGGTTCAATTCCGGCCAAGGGCACATGCCCGAATTGCAGGCTTGATCCCCAGTAGTGGCTGTGCAGAAGGCAGTCAATCACTGATTCTCTCTCATCATTGATGTTTCTATCTCTTCCTCCCTCTCCCTTCCTCTCTTAAATCAATAAAGAAATATATTTTTTAAAAAGTAATTAAACTTTGGCCAGTTGCTCAGTGGTTAGAGTGTTGGCCTGAGGATTGGAGGGTGTTAGGTTCGATTCCAGGTCAGGGCATGTACTATTACCTGGCTTGCAGGTTCGCTCCCCAGCTCCAGTCAGGGTGTGTACAGGAGGCAACTAATCAATGTGTCTCTCTCACATCTATGCTTCTCTTGCTCTCCTCACCTCCGCCCTCCCTTCCACTCTGAACAATCAATGGGAAAAATATCCTCGGGTGAGGATTTTTTAAAAATTATTAAAATGGTAAGTCTTATGCATATTTTACCACAATAAAAAGAAAGATCCCATTTTCAAGAATGGGTATGTGACCCAATTCAGGCCAACAACATGGAAGAGCTTCTCATTCTTAGAACTGCAGGATGAGATGCTCTCTCTTGGTTCTCTGGACCCGACATCTGGAATGTTGGCTTTCATCTGGAACTCTGCAGCCCTCTTGGGACCAGCCTGAGAATAAAGCTGACAGCCAGGGCAGCTGACAGGTAGAAAGCTGTGGATCCTTGATGATGTCATGAAGCTCCTGAACCAATGGTCTCAGAAGTCAGTTCTACCTTAGGACTTATAGTGATGTAAGATAAAACACTTCTTATAGTTATATCCAATTTGAATGGTAATTTCTGTAACTTGCTTTTGAAAGTATCCTGACACTTGTACAAGTACTGTTGGTATAACAAAATTTTGGAAATAACCTAAAGGCCTATCAGTAGGGAAATGGGTAAATATAAAAGAGGTAAAAACATAGATGGAAGTACTGTACTCTGAGAGGTTAAATGCCCGGCTGTATGGCTCAGTGGTTGAGCGTCAACCTATGAACCAGGAAGTCACGGTTTGATTCCTGGTCAGGGCACATGCCAGGGTTACGGGCTCATTCCCCAGTGTGGGGCCTGCAGGAGGCAGCCAATCAATGATTCTCTCTCATCATTGATGTTTCTATCTCTTTCTCCCTCTCCTTTCCTCTCTAAATTCAATAAAAATATATTTTTTTTAAAAAGAGAAACATTGACCGGTTGCCTCCTGTACACACCCTGATGGAGGACAGAACATGCAACCTGGGCAGGTGCTCTGACTGGGAATCAAACCAGCAACTTTTTGGTGCACTATACAACATGTAACCAACTGAGTCACTCCGGCTAAGGTGTAAATATGTTTTTAAATAGATTAGATGGATCACATTAAATATTCTAGTATGATAGCGGTTGCCATTTTTGAGGTGGTAGAATGGCAATGGGATGGTGGTAAAAGAAGCAACACGTATTGGAATTGTTTTATTTCTTATCTTAAAACATGAAACAAGATGATGTGATGTTAACAATTGACAGTCTTGGGATTCTATGTAGGTATGTGAGTGTTTGTGATTCTTTGTACTATTCTATACTTACAAAATTCTCAAAGGTAAAAACAAAAACCAACAACAAACCTTCCCCAGTGCTACCCCTAGTCCAAACAAATTTATTTAAGGAAGGCAGAAAAAATCCTTTAGCAAAGACGGGAACCAAGGCTAAAGTCTGTATAATTATTAGTTGGCTGTAAGACTTCAAAAAACATGGCTTTTCATTACTATTAGAATTTTTAACCTTTTAACTGTTTATTTTGAAATAATTTTAGACATAAAAAATTGCAAAACTATTACGAGAGGTCCCATGTATCCATCACCCAGCTTCTCCCAATGGTAACATCTTACATATCTATTGTAACACCAACAAAACCAGAAAGTTAACATTGCTACAATACAGGTGAGCAGACTCTACACCTTACTGGAATTTCATCTGTTTAACTTTTCTATTATCTTTAATGTCTTTAAGCTATAAAACCAATTTGCTCATCCATGGATGAATAAACAAGAATTAGTATATCCACACAGTGGAATATGATTTGGCCATAGAAAAGAAATGAAGTACTGATATACCTGCTACAACATGGATGAAGTCTGAAAATATTATGCTAAGTGAAAAAAGTCAGACACAAAAGGTTATATGTTATAAAATTCCATTTATATGAAATAACCAGAAAAGGTAAATTTTAGAGATAGAAAAGTGGTTAACAGAGGCAGGGAGAAGAAGAGACTGGGGAGCATGTGGTTACACAATATTGTGAATGCGCTAAATCCCACTGTTCACTTTAAAGTGGTTAATTTTATATTATGTGAATTTCATCTCAATAAAAGAAATTTTAAGCAATTTTCTTATTGTAGAAAAATTCAACCATAAAAATATAGTAAAAAAATTCAATTTCTTCTCCCAGCTGTTTTCCTCTCCATATCCAATCCCACTTCACATGTATACCTTTCAATTAAATATTCAATATGTAGTAACTGTTCACACTTTTTAAAGTTTTAGAACATACAAAGAGATACATGTTTCTTTCTCTCCCAAATGTTTACTGAACACTTTATCCAATTGCAATGTTGTAGATGATGGGAACACAATAGCGAATAAAACAGACTAAGGGAATTAATTTTCTAGTTGCAGGAGCTTGGTAGTAAACATGGGAATGAATAACTTCAGATCATGGTAACTGCTGTGAAAAAATAAGACAGGGTAAGAGGGCAGAGAGTGATGTGGGTTGGTGGAGGGCAGGGTGACTAGGGGAGACCTCTGAGATAAAGACACAACATTTGAGCTGAATGATAACAAGGACCTAGAGAGTTGACGATGCAGGAAAAGAACATACCAGGGAGAGGAAAAAAATAGGTACTTTTAAAGAAATTGGATTGTATTAGATGCATTGATCCACTATATATTCTACACACACTAGATATTGTGCTTTTCTCTGACTTTACCGTATATTAAAAATGAATTTCCATGTTGGCACCTAATTTACCTTATGTTTTTAAAATATATGTTTTTATTAATCTCAGAGAGGAAGGGGGAGGGGGAGAGAGAGGTAGAAACATCAATGATGAGAGAGAATCATGGATCAGCTGCCTCCTGCACGTACCCTGCTGGGGACCAAGCCCACAACCCGGGCATGTGCCCTGACCGGAAATCAGCGGTTACCTCCTGGTTCTTAGGTCAACGCTCAACCACTAAGCCACACAGGCCGGGCTACTTTACTCTTTTTGATCACTACATATTATTCCATGATATTGATATAATATCACTTATTTAACCATTTCCATGCTGGTGAAATGTAGGTTGTTTCCAGTTTGGAGCTATTGCAGAAATGCTGGAAAGAATAGATTTTCACAGTTGTGCTCATATTTCTGTAGAAACATTTCCAGGAATGGGACGGCTACATCAGTGTCCACTTGTGTTTTCACTCACTAAAACCCTGGGAGAGGCGTGAGTTTTCTTAGCATCCTCATGGTCGGAAGCATGAAAGACAAACTCTTAGATTAAAAAGAACAAAAGAAAGTACTG